AAAAAAAAAAACGATAGAAAGAAGTGACAAACTGAATAAAACAGATCGAGTGGTATAATAAGGATTTGGAAAATCACGCTGAAAAGAAAAGTATATATGTTGCACAATAGACAAATCATGTCATTATTTAGTTGAAAATAGTTTTTTTTTAAAAGGGGCGGGGATTCAAACTATAAATTTTCTTTAATTTTGTTGCCAAAAGGATCTTTTAGCGACGAAATATAGTGCGTCGCCAAAAGTTCTGTCGCCGGAACTTAAATTTCTTGTAGTGGGAGAAAACAACAAGACCTCCCGCTCTAATACCACGTTAATGATGAATAAACCAAAATTCAACCAAAAACTTAAGCGGCCAAGTACATTTATTTCATAATTAAACTTGAAGTTTTTATAAACATGTTATATATGTTCTAAATAATTTTGGAAAATGAATTGATATTATGAGTCTCCAATGAAATTAAAAACAGGCTGACATAGAGGGCCTTAAACAAGCATTGAGCATGGCCATGGAAGTGATGGCCAAATTAGAGGCAATGATCACCAAACGCACATCTCAGGTTCATCTCTTTTCTTCTCTTTGAAAAAGTCAACTATATCGAAATATCGATATCGATGGAAATGTCAAGTTTCAATTTTTTGAAAACGTCGAAAAAAATATCTATTAAATGTTGATATTGATGTTTATTTCTTGAAAATTATAATAATAAAAAATCTGTAGCAAGTAATTAAATTTTGAAATAGGCATTAGTTTCACTTTTTAAAATAAGTTAAAGTTTATTATTATTATTATTAATATAATGTCTATATTAGTAATATTTTATAATATTTTATCGAATTTTAATGATACTATTGAAAAATGTAGATACACCTCTGATGATTCTTATGTAAATTTATAGATATGGAAAAATGTCGATGAAAATTTATTACTCTAACTAATATCATAACTTTATCTGCATTTAACTTAAATAAACATGATCAACTTATCAGTTTCTTTTGTAAAGAAAAAAAGAATATCATTAACATTTGTTTGTTGTATAAAATTTTTGTTTTCAGACATTATGTTTATTTATAATATATTTCTTAAAAAATTTTTTAACCTATTCTATAATCATTTATGAAAGAGAAATTGTACTCGGTAGTATTAAAAAAAAAAAGAAAGAAAAATAAGTCATAGCTTTTAATTTTTCTTGTAAATAATATAGCATAAGTGAAATTTTTCCATTTGAGTTTGATTTGGAATTGAATTATCTAATTTTCATAAATTTTCTAACTTTCGACTGTAACACATATATTTTTGGTCTTATCACATTAAATAAGATTATTTGAAATCTTAATGAGAGAAAAAACTGATCCAAATAATCGAATTTTGCAAGATTTTATATAATTTTAAGGTWGATTACTTTTTTAACTTGTCATATTTTAATTTTCTATAATAAATTAAGATTAAAAATCTATATTTGTAAATTTTTTTTCCTTTTGGGCCAACATCCTAACTAGAACAATACACCCGCACCCATTTCAAATCTTTCTTATTCTAAAAAAGATAAAAGAATTTAAAAATTGTGACCAGATTTTGAAAATACAAAAACTTTGGGAGAAAAGTTTGTATTTTTAAATTTGGCTAGAGGGTAAAACAGTTAGGGAAAAAAACATCTAGTAAACTAATTTATTCTTTTAAAAAAATAAAAAATAAAAAATAAAATCATTATTAATTGATAATCTAAAATAAAAAAATTTTCCAATTATAAATTTCAGCAACTGGAGAAAGCATTGTATATGCTAACGGAGCGACTAAGTATATTTAAAGAACAAGAAGACTGCTGGGAGAAATTAGAGAACGATGTATGCTCAGTCACCACATTACTGGTAAGTGTAATTTCAAATAGTTTTTTTTAATACAACAAATATGGGTCGAAAGATTGAATCTCAGACCTCTAGAGAATGAACAAAACGTCTTTAATTATGCTTATGTTGCCATAATTTTAAATATTCTTTTGGCCCTACTAACTTTAATTTATTTTGGTATTTGTACTTTCAAAATATATGTTTTTGATTCTTATATTTTCAACTACTTTCGTTCATTTTGATCATTGGTATTCTCTAGAAGTTCTTTTTTTGTCCCTATATTTTAAAAAAGTAACTGTTTTTGTCCATTTGTTTTCATTTTTATCAAAATTTTAGCATAAGATTTTACTGGAAATTTAGCCTTAAAGGTTTATTTTGTGTACACGTCTTAAATATAAAAAACAAAGTTTCTATTAAAACTTTTTCTAATTATTTTCAAGTTTTCTTTTTTTTCTTCTTTATTGGCTTTTCCTTATTAGTATTATTATTATTATTATTTTGAAACAGGCAAAGGAGAATAGTGTTAGAATACTACTGATGCAACAAGCAACAAATGCTACCAAGAAGGCCAAGCTACTCAGTTTCTGATTGTACGAGAAAATTGGCTACCACCATACTAAATGTATGAAATCGTTGCAGTTAAGTTCTGCATATTATTATAACTCTGTTACTAATTGGATTTAATTAATTGTAGCAATTTTTCTTAAGTTTAGAAGCATCATTGCAACGATTTTTGTATTCGAGATCAATCTAAATAGCTATTGTTTTAGGTTGAAGCCTTTTTTGGTTCTCCCTCAACGATAATATTGCATCGGAAAAAATTCATAAAAACGCCCTAGCAGCCTTCTCTTTTCTTCCTCATGTAGCTGCCAGAGTATCTTTTTCCTCTTCCTCTCCCCCTTGTTCACTCACCACCAATTAATATGTAGGGTGGTGATTCGAACCTCTAATTTTTTGCTACTTCTAGTCTCTTTAATAAGATTAATTGTGAAAAAAAAATTGGGAAATGAGTGGGCTGAATCCATTTTGATTTTGTTAATTGTGTYGTGGAAAATATAAATTTCTTTTTTAGTACAATATGTAGGGGTGGAGAGTTGAACTCACAACTTTTTGAATAGAGATGTATGTCAATTACCACTTAACTATGTTCGTTTTGGCATAGTGCTTTGTTAATTTAATTGATTGATTTTGTGTATAAATAATATCATTTACTAGCCACCTCTCAATGAATCTTGGTTTATCATAATTTCTTTATATAGATTATGTAGTTACATGATATACAAGCCTTTGCATTGAATGGTTATCTGATGCTATTTTTTAATCAATTGAGGCGTCTTGGTGGAAGCCATTCAAATTGGTACTTGCAGTCCTCCCATTTCTCACCTTATATTTGCTAATGACATTCTTCTCTTCATAGAGCCTCAAAAAAGTGAATATAGCCAAACTGTTCATTTATTTATTAAAAAAAATAGAGTTTTGAGATCAGCGTACATCACACCCAAAACCTCTACTCTTATTTATAGAGAGAGTCTCTTTAAATTGGTTCGGGGAATCGGTTCAACGGGGTCCATTCAGCTTGGTCCAAGTGGTTTCACCCTACTCAGGTAAGTGTTGTATGGTCGTGTGGTTTGTCCAAACCTGATTAGGTCGGGTATTCCTTAGTCTCCGACCTACGTCGTTTTTGCGGTCCCACTTTGGGTATATATAAATAATCTCACCCCTAATTGTTTCAATAATATATATATCGTTTAGAAATATTATTTAAATAAATTTTAAAATTCAAGGGTAGAAATTTCTACCTTTAACTTTTAAATTTATTCAAATTAAAATCGTTAAAACAAGGGAGGGAGTTTAAATTGATGTTTGTGGGTGCTGTTGAATTGTAAGTATAGTAACAAATATATGAGTTAAGAAAATGAATGACGTGGAAAGTACTAATAACCACAAATCAATCAATGTTACCGAGGGTGAGTTAAAAAATGAATGGAAAATATGGCTTGAAAAGTGATTATTTAGTGGTTATCGTTACTTGTCATGTTTGTCATCGTTAATCTTTTAAAAGCAACCATTGCTATTGCTTTGTTTACCGTCAACATCATATCTACTTTCGTCACTTGTTTCAATTATAAAATTGTTCAAATGGATATTTGAATCAATTTGAGAAGGTGACGAAATCTTTTAAATGAGAAACCACTCAAAGTTAAAAAGAGGTATTTTGAATAATTGTCTAAAATTAATCTTAAAATTTTATGGATGAAATGACAATTCTTTTATTGAACACCAAAACAGTCCGGGGCATTTTTGAGAGTAGAGAGTAAAATTAGAATTTCACAAATTCCCTCAGCTGTCTCCTTCGTCGTTGAAACTTAGCTCAGTAATTTGGTGTACTCTCCTCTCATCAATGGCCGCCATTTTCAGATATTGAGAGCATAGATTCGCAGCGACTACACTCGAAATGTTTCGAATTCTAGGGCTCAAAATCTTCAGTCCTAGCAGCAGGCGGATTGCAGTCGCCACCTCTTTCTTCAACAATCTAGGGTTTCAGCGGGACGACAAGTTCTTCTCAGTTCTTGCCGACAAAGGATCGTTTGAACGTTCTTCCATAGTTTTGTACCTCGTCAATTCATGCGGAATGGCATCAGAAACTGCGCTGGATGTGGCGGCCAAGGTAAATTTCAAAACTCCGAGCGAGCCAGATTTGGTCCTTTCGCTTCTCCGAAGCCAAGGACTGACCAAAACGCAGATTTCCAAGGTAATTAAGATTTTCCCGAGTTTGCTATTCTTTAACTCTGATAGAACACTTTTGCCCAAATTTGAATTTCTGCATTCCATTGGGCTTTCTAAGTCAGAATGTGCTGTAATTGTTTATTCATGTCCGTTTCTTTTGGGGAGTAGCTTGAAGAACCATCTAATCCCCTGCTACAACTACCTTAAATCTGTACTTGTCGAAGATGAAAAGGTCCTCAAATGCCTTAAGCGTTCTCCCAGGGCATTTCGCCAGGATTTGCGAGGCAAAATAGCTCCAAACATTGCATTTTTACGAACCTCTGGAGTGTCTGAAGTTGCAATTTCGTATCTGGTTTCAAATTTTCCTGATTCTGCATTCCTTAACCATTCCAAATTCTGCAACATTGTTAACCGAGTTCGAGACCTGGGATCTGACCCTTCAAAAATTGTATTTGTTGAGGCCATTAGAGTGCTCTCTGGGATGACTTCTTTAACCTGGGAAAGAAAATTTGAAGCTTACAGGAAGTGTGGTTGGTCAAAGGATCAGACCCTCTTAGCTTTTAAAAAGTATCCACCATGTCTGATTCTGTCTGAGGAGAAGATCTTCAAAACTATGGAGTTTTTTGTGCAGAAAATGGGGTTAAAGCCAGAGGATATTGCTACAAGACCTACAGTGATGGTCTTTAGTTTGGAGAAGAGGATAATTCCAAGGTGTTCAGTTGTTCAAAGTCTTTATTCAAAAGGTTTACTGAAGAAAGAACTTATCATTACTAGTATTTTACATCCTACAGAGAAGACTTTCTTGGAGAAGTATGTGACCAAGTTTCCAAAAGATGTTGCTTGGTTATTGCATTTGTATACTGGGGAGGTCAAAGTTTTTGATGCTTAACTTGAAAGTTCTTGATTCATTCATTGTTATACTTGTGGCCCATTTACTTGGGCTGAATTCTAATTTATTGGCTTATTTCTGTCTCTGGTTGAAGGAAAGCCTTTTCCAGCAAGTGCTCCCACAGAATATTAATGTATCATGTATCTCAATGGTTCTTATTGTACAATTTTTAAGCATTTGCAATGTTGTTAACTTTGAACTTTGCCTTTTTGTTTCAAAAATATTCCTATTCTTTCAAAAGTCATTGAATATTACTCTTGATCTTTTAAAAAAAATATCTTTTAAGCAAATATTGTTAAAATTTTGAAGAGAAGTTGATGTGACAGAACGAGAACTTTGACAGGATTAAGTCTGAAAAAAGTTATATTTTTTAAGCGGATTACGGCGGAACTTGGGCGAACTTCCCCTTAATGGCCCATTTTCCTCTATTAAAAATGATAGTTTATTCAACCGCTCATCTCTTTTCATTTTCCTTTCAAACAATTAATAACTCTAGAATCATTTTATAGATAATCAATTTTAAAGTGATTTTTCAGAGAATTATAAGAAACAAATTTGGTTATTTCAAGAGTGATTTGTATTTGTCACAGAGCATTCTAGATTAAAAACAAATAAAGAAAAATTTTAAAAGGAAAAAAAGACAAACATTTGGGCTTCAAAAATCATTCTTAGTTAATTTCGCGGTTGCTTTACACCATAACTTCATTTTTTAGGTCTTGATTTTCTGTTTTTAGAAGTTGTGTTCATGTACTATGTTCTCTCTCTAATCACTGTGTGAGTTCATGCTGAAATTATAACTTAAATACAATGTGATTAAGCTACAATAATTCATATCTAGCTTAACAAAGTTCACAAGAATGTAGGTTCAAGTTAGGAAAAACTTACAAACTACTACAAGTTTAAGGGAGACGATGAAATAAAGAAGAAAAAAAAAAAAGCGGAAAAAATGGAGGAAAAAATGGCTGCCATTTTCTATAAAAATTCCCTCACCTCAACCTCTCTCTCCAAGTTGAACTCACAACCTTATGATTGGAGGTATATGCTAATTACTGTTGAGCCATGCTTGATTTGGCGCACTCCAAATGAGGATTGGTTTGACACATTAAATGAGCTGAAATATCTGGTTGGAAGACTCTAGCTAATAGTATGATTATGGCTTTAGTTGAAATCGCCTACTCTAAATGAGGATTGATTTGACACATTAAATGAGCTGGAATATCTATTCAAGGTACTCTAATGGTATGGTTATGGCTTCAGTTGAAATGGTCCGCCGAATGAATACCTCAGCAGAAATGGTGGAAGCCATCTATACTATATTAAAAAGGTAGGATGTAGGAAAAATATTTTTGGACACTTTTGCCCTTTATTAAATTTACAAATTTACAAATTATTCCATTAATATATTATTACAAATATTAAATTAATTATTAATTATTAATTATCAATACTATAAATGCATGGAATATAAAAGGTTAGAATGCAAAAAGTTTTCCAACGACATAAAATTAATTTTTTCTTTAATTAAAATTCATACAAGAATTTCAAGAGTTTTAGAATTTGAAAAGCTTTTGTAACGTTTTATCCTCTACTACTATAAAAATAGGTTTTCTTCTACATGTTTTTCACAAGTTTCAATACTTTTTTATTCTTAGTTCCTTGAAACATCTCTCAAATATGATTCAATCTTGAAAACATCTCGAGATATTTGTGACATATTCATCAAGTTGCAAGAGATGCATATGTTGAATCTACATATCTCGAATACTAGGTTTGTAACATTACCATTCCACAATTTTACAAARTTGAATAATAGTATCTGTCAAGCAATCTTCAAGAATGARCATATTTACTCTRAAAGATGAGTGTATAKTAAGTACTTGGATTTTTTTTTGTTACTATTGTTATTTTTCTAATTAGTGTGTTTTTTAWTTGGAATGTTTCTTTTTTTAGCAATTTTATTTAGTTTAGGATTTGGACTTTTTTTTTGTTACTAATGTTTTTTATTGTTTAGTGTATTTTTTTTATTTGGAATGTTTTTTTAGAAATTTTATTTAGAATATTTGTTTAAAATATAGATAATTACAAGCTTATGTTCTTATTGTTGAAAAAAAAACAATCATAGAAGTCAGTATATAAAAAAATGTTTAGTTAATTAATTAATTATAAACAATAATTTGTATAGAATCGTAAAAGGTGGAATATAAAACTTTTGGTCATTTTATTTTCTAATAATATAATTTGAAGAATTTTTCTTTAATAATTTTAATTATAATATAAAATTAAATCAATAAAATAATTTAGTTTTAGTTAAAAAATTCAACATATACAATAAAATGTCAGTCCTAAACAAATATTTAATAAACAAACAAAATATTAAAAAAATAAAATAAAGGACTCATATTAGGTTGAAATAATTTAAAAATAAAAATATTAAAATACCTATTTACTTTTTTATTAATATATAATTTTTTCCATTACTTTTAATTTATTTATTTGCAAAATATATCATTAACAATTAACTATAAATAATATGTTTTTAAAATAATTATAAATAGTACATTTTATTATTAGTAATTAGCYGTCAATAATAATAAATATATATAAAAATTAATCTTAATTATTTTTAAAAATAATTATACTTAAAATATTTTACGTGAAATTATATAAAATTTAAGTTATCTTATAATTAAAAAAAAATTTATACGTGCATTACACGTGGTAATACACTAGTGATGCTAAAAGCAAGGATCGATTTGGCACSAGGAGCAGGAATTCACCCAATCTGGGCCAAAATCACCCCCTTGATAGTCTATAATCTTGTCATAGATAGTGTTAGATATCTAATGTATTAATTCAATTTACTTAATTCACCGGTTTAAGTTTTTGGGTTGAGTTGTGAGTTTAATTCATCTTTAACATAGTATCAGAGTGTGGGAGGTCCTGTGTTTTCCTCCCCATTTTTTATGATTTCCATTAAATTTTAYCCTAGCTAAAGTTTTTGGGTTGAATGGTGGGCTTACCAGTTATCAATATATAGTTTTCGTTGGACTAGTTAGGTCGAATCTCTTGATATATTAAACCTAAAATGACCCAGGTTTAATTGAATCCAACTCAACACCCTTATTTGGGTTGGATTTTTCAGGACCTATTATGCAACGTTTTTCTACTTTTTTTTTTAATAAATAGAAATAGATTTGCATTTGATAATTATTTTTTTTTATTTCTTTATTTTTATTACTGAAAAGGAAAATAGAAAAATGTTTGATAATCCTTTCTAGTTTCTTATTACCTAGATTTTTAAATTGAAAAGTGAGACTCACTTGGTATGCTGTTTCTTGTTTCTGTTTCTTTCATTCATTTTTAATAAAGAAAAGTGAATGGCATGGTTCTAACGTACATAAATTCAAGTATAATATAAAACAATCTTTTTATTTATGTTTTAAAACATATTGGAAAAGGGGAATAAAAAAGAAAAACTTATTTTGGTTGTTTCCAAAATTTCTATACAATTGGAGAAAGCAGAAACAAAAGTTAGTTGTAAAATACTTAGATTTCTTAGAAAAATTGAAAACAAGACATGAGAATATTGACAAACGGACTCTAAATTTCTAATTTCTCATTCCCTAGATTTTTAAATTAAAAAGTAAAATTTTAAATTAAATTTTACATGGACAGATGCTTTGGCGCCCAATGGGCGAGGGCGCTGCAGTGAGACAGCTTGCAAGATTTTCTCGCAAGCGCTTGTGCATGCATGGGCGCGAGGGGCACACGGGGCGCTGCGCACTGTGCACAAGTGATGGGTGTGCTATGCGCTGGTGGCATTGTCCTGCGACATGGCCATCTTTGCGATGGTGTGCTCAATGCTTCTGGGAGCATCTGTTGGGTTAAAAGGCCTAATTGTGAGTCGTGACAACCATAATAGACCCTCTTAATTGGCTCATTTATTCTCACATGCTCAATGATTTCCAATCTAACTCTTGTGTTGAAAGCTTGTCATCCTTCTTTCGGTGTTGCACATACTTCGTCGTCACTCTTTTGAGCTTCTTAGCATGAGATCTAGTGATTAGCCCTTACGAAGAGTCGTTCGTGGTCTTATGATCATATCACGAACCCATCTCGTAAAATAACKCACCTAGAAAATACGCGACTTGCCTTAAATCACACTGGCTGGCCGCTTATAGGTAAAACATATGTAGAAATACACGAATGTAGCCTTAGCTCGTGGTTATTATATTTGATTTACTAATACGATTTATCTGCTATATTTTTAGAATTAGTTTGACATGTATGATAAATTTGTTTTTCTTTTTTAAAAGTACATTATTTAAAAAAAAAATTCAGCCAACTGACTAGCATTTTAAAATAACAAAATGTTAAGGCAGCCCATTAGAGATGCCACATGATTAGTGGTTTATTTTATTAATAGTTTGTCATTTTCATAGGTATTGGTTAGAAGTTGTTGGGATTTCATTCATCTGTATTATGTAGGGTGTATCCTTGAGATACTTCCACATCACATAAATAGCTGTCATATATTTTATCTCTATTTTGAAGCAAGTGGAATATATGAGGTTGTCTCTTGAATTTTAAGTTTTCTGTTTTGTTCGAAATGGTACCAAAGCCCTGGTCTAACAACTTGTTCGTGGTTTCSATACTTCAAAGGTAAACTCAGAATCTTCCAATAGATTTCGAGCAAATCAAGTTATCAATTCTAGAAGTAAGATCACTACGATGAAGTTGAATGACGATAATTTTCTTCTTGAAAATTTCAAGCGCAAATCGTACTTGAGCGATGATTCCGAAATACCTCTAGAATTTATTCAAGTAAACGAAGATTCTAGTACTGTAAAGAAATTGAACCATAKTTTTACACAGTAGAAGAGACAAGATAAGTTGATTTCGRTCTTGGTTTCTTTGCTCAATGAGAAGAAATATTAGAACAAATACTTCATTCTTCTAGGCAGATTTGGAATGGTTTGCTCCAGGATTTTACATCAAGAAACTTGGCTCAAGTTACGAAAATCAAATCCAAATTACAAAATTTGCAAAAAGGAGGCCAATTAAAAAGTACATTAACGCTTTTTTTCACAAAACTATACCTTTTTCTCTTCTCCTTCTAATCACGTTTTTCACCCCATAATCTTCTTCGTGTCCCTTCCATCACTAAAAATTTGATTACTGTCAATCAATTTGCTGAGGATAACTCTGTATTTTTTTTAATTTCTGCTTCAAGGGACTTTTCGGGAAGGATTAGACTGTTTTCAATTTTCACAGACTCCAAATTCTAATTCCAACCAGTACTCCACAGACTCATGTCTTGTTTTCTCCTCCTTTTCATTATTGTTCCAATTATGCTTTACCTTCTGTTTGTAATCTGTTACTGTGTCCGATCTTGATGTTTGGAAAATTGATGTCGTCCCCATAAATTCTTCTACAGAAAAATATATATATATATATATATATATATATATATAACAAGAAGCAAAATATTAAATAAATAGACATTTAATGCTATCATTTATTTTACTTAATTAAAAAAAACGTGGATATTATTTTGTTATTTAAATGCTATAATTTGGGTAAAAGATATAGAAAATCTGCACAGATGACAGATCCCTCTTCCAGTGCATCGTGTCTCCCCATCTCATCGAAAAGGGCCCTCTCCTTGTAATCAAAATTCAAAACTTGAAATAAAATATTATTTATCAAAACAATTGGAGAAATATTCTCCCACAGCATGAAAATAAAATAAAATAAATTTCTTTACCCATTAAAAATTGGACATTTTGAATATTACTAAAATTAAAACTAATTTCAAAAATATTCTTAAATCCAAATTATCATAGTCAACTTTTTCACACATAATACATATATTTTATTTTGACTCGACCTCTATTTTTATTATTTTTACAAAATGTTATATTTATAATTAACTATTAATCTTTTGTTATATTTAAAAGCACCTTAAGTTTTAATAGTTTAAAATCAAAATAAGAAATTTGCAACACTAAAATGAGACTTTTTTTTTTTTTGAAACAAACACTAAAATAAGACATAAATCAATAAATAAAATAATTTGAATATTCGGAACCAAATTGAACATCTCAGTCTTTCTTACAAGTTTAGAACAACAATAATAGGAAAACACCAATTTGGATGAAATTAAAATAAAAATTTACCAAAACTAAAATTTCCAAAATAATTTGTAAAAAAAAAAAAAACGACGTCACTTCCGTTCCCCACAATATCCCATTTCTTGTCGTTCATCAGTAAAATCAATGTTTAAACAAAAAGCGAGTGGTAGAGAGATGAGAGAGAAATGGATGCTCCATTTCCATGGCAGTCAAATTCATCCAACGGCCATGAAAATCATCGAATAATTTGGAAGCTGATCTCAAGGATTCCAGCAAGACCCACGTTGTGGATCTGGCAATCAGGCATGGGCAAGATAGAGAGAGAATTCAGAAGATTCTCCTTGGTTCTGAGGATAGAACTTAGAAGACGCCATTACAAATTGAGGGCTTAGCTTCAAATGGAGAGATTTGGGGCCTGTGGGTGGCTGTGCTGAGTCCTCCATTTTCGCGTTTGATGCACCGATTCACCACCACTCGCTCCAAATCCCTTCGCTTCCCGCTATGTCTCTCTGTTTTCCCCTTCCATCGCTGCCTCTCTCTTCTCCTACTTTGACTCTCCTTCGTTCTCTTCCTCTTCCCTCTTCCGCATATCACCCTCCCTCCGCTTCCTCTTCCTTTCACCGATGCGGGGTTGGCGACCGATTCGCATTCTTTTCCATGGCCAGACGGCGCGATTCTTTCCGCGGATTATATTCCTGTCGCGTTTTTACCGGCGACGGCACGCAGGAATTCTCCAGTGGAAGTGAAGAGGAGGATGATGACGACAACGCTTCTGATGAGGAGTTTGTGCCTGCCCTCGGAATTCAGGCACCCGCTGACATTAATGGCTCTTCCTCTCGTTTGCCTGACCGATGGGACGTCTTGGGCCTTGGACAAGCTATGGTAATTCATTCAATTTCTTGGGAATATTTCTCCGAAACCTGCCCTGTGTTTTTTAATTTACTACTGAATTGCGATTCGAATGCGAAGATGGAAGGATCGGGTCAAGTAGATTTAAGATCAAAATAGTTGAAACTTTGACTTTTGCTTCCCTTTCCCTTGTAATAACTGGCTAACAACAGAAAGTACTACTGAGCTGTTCATGCTGTTGTTGAAGGATTTGGATTGAAGAAACCTTTGAATGTCATATAGCTTTCTGTTATTTTGAAGATCAAAATCACACCTCATTAAGCAAACCGATGTGGTGGTAGTGGTACCTTAGAGCTGGAGCTTTTACTTCATTTTCTTTGACTCTAGAACGATGGGGATTTTATAGCTTTTTATGTTTTATCTCTTTAGGATTTATCTCGAGTGAGGGACTCTGAATTAAATTAACCCTCTCATTTGATTGGGTCTATTAGTAAGCACATTGTTTATATAGGTGTAGTGTAATAATTTCATTTAGAAAAGCTCAACCTTGAGCAAAACCCTTGTCACTGGCTGCCTCCAGTATCATAATATTCATCAGAACAAGAAGTGAACTTTGTTATTATTCTATTAAATTTTCTATGGTGGTGGTTGTCATTTGTTGAAGTTGCTCTTGTCTTTGATTTGTTATTCGATATAATTTGTAACGAGCACTTTTGCTGATTCTTGCATTTTTCACTGGTGTGTGAACATGTTTAGGTAGATTTTTCTGGTATCGTAGATGATGAGTTTCTGAAGAAACTGGGATTAGAAAAGGGTACGAGGAAGGTTGTAAATCATGAGGAAAGAGGTAGAGTATTGCAGGCCATGGACGGTCGCAGCTATAAGGCAGCTGCTGGCGGGTCTCTTTCGAACAGTCTGGTGGCCTTGGCAAGGTTGGGTATTAGACCCATGAAAGACCCCACTTTCAATGTAGCTATGACTGGTAGTGTAGGGAGTGATCCGTTGGGCAGCTTCTACAGGTCAGGTTCTAGTTTAACTTTCTTGTTATTAAATTTTTATGCATTCTCAATTTGAATTTGTTGGACAGCATTGCTATAGTAAATTGTAAAGTAAATAGTCAGCCTAACCTAATCAGAGTATCACGACAAAAAAAAAAAAAAATTACCCTAATGCTGAAATTCAAGTGGAAAGAAATTGCCCGATGAGTTGCCAGGCCCTGCACTGGAACCAGCAATGGATCCATTTTCCGGGTAGCATTTAGAATTGTTAATGACATGGTATTCTTAGAGATACATACCACTCATTTCTTTGCATACAGAATGAGACAAGATTTTATTCATTTATGTTTCAGAGGATTACAGTACTTGAATGAAAAGAAAAATACTTTGGAAGAGGGAAAAAAAAAACATTGCAGTAGTAACTTCATTAAACTCTCATCTAATTCTAACAAATTGTGTGTGAAATGCTTCCTATTTTATTGTTGAATTTGATATGTTCTAATAACTTCCCAATGAATTAATTTGTTTCATAGGACAAAACTTAGACGGGCAAATGTCCATTTTCTCTGTCCCCCAGTCAAGGATGGGACAACAGGAACAGTTATTGTTCTTACAACCCCTGACGCTCAGCGAACAATGCTTGCATATCAGGTAATCATTTATTTAGACTCTTAATTCCAAGCAACATCAGCATAACTGCAATTAGAAAGGATGGTATCCCACAACTTTTCTCGGTAATCAAATATACTAGGGCCACACGGCTCTTCTACGAGATTAGTCGAGGTGCATGTAAGTTAGCCCGAATACTCATCGATGTAAAAAGTAAACAAATAAAATATTGCAATCAATCTTAGATGGGGGGCTCTTCTGCTCTCTTCTTTTGACGTAACTGGTCGGGGTGTTTATCAAATTGAACGTGTATTTGCTTTGACTAGCATGGCTTTTCTTTTTGTTCTTTTTTCCTTTTAAGAGTCTTCGACAATTGGAAATGTTTTAGTGCTTGTATTTTTTGTAAACAATACACAAACTAAACGGGGTTCTACCTGATCTGCTATTTTGGTATCATGGTATCAGGGTACATCTTCCACGCTGAATTATAGTCCAGCATTAGCTAGTGTAATTAGCAAGACGAATGTACTTGTAGTTGAAGGGTATTTATTTGAATTGCCTGATACTATCAAAACAATTCAAAAAGCATGTGAAGAAGCACACCGGAGCGGTGCTCTAGTTGCAGTCACAGCTTCAGATGTCTCTTGCATTGAAAGGCATTTTGACGATTTTTGGTAATTTCCTTTTAACCCTGTTTTTGTTTTTATGTCCTTAACCATGAACCTATTATATATTGTATGAGAATTCTGCTTTGTTGGCTCGACGACACACCCATTTTCCCTCCTTTTGGAAGAGTGGGAGAAAGTCTTCATTTTCTAGTTTCAATGTTATCTGCACTGAAAGTTAGAATCTGGGTTCAAATTGTTGTATATGGTCTCTGCATCGAAGCAAAGATGTTCATTCGGTCTGATTATGTGATTCTTTATTTAAAACATCTTTTCTGTTTAACTATCAGGGAAATCGTGGGGAACTATGCTGATATTGTTTTCGCAAACCATGAAGAAGCTGGAGCTCTGTGTCATTTTGACTCCAAGGAAAGCTCTATATCAGCTGTAAGGTATCTGAGTCATTTCGTCCCCCTCGTCTCAGTCACTGATGGGCACAGAGGTTCTTACATAGGTGTTAAAGGAGAAGCCGTATATATCCCACCTTCTCCGTGCGTACCTCTCGACACTTGTGGCGCTGGAGATGCTTATGCGTCTGGTATCTTGTACGGTATCTTGCACGGAGTCTCGGATTTGAAAGAAATGGGTACATTTGCAGCCAAAATCGCAGCTAGAGTTGTCGGGCAACAAGGAACTCGTTTACGGGTTCAAGATGCCATGGAGCTTGCAGATGCATTCTCTAGCTTTCAGTCTGATATTGGCTCATCACATGTATAGACTGTAGTGTGTGCAACTTGTGGCAAAGCCCATCTTCTTCTAAATAAAGTTCTCCTATCATATCATATATCTAAATAAAACTGGAGATGTGTTGCTTGTAAGATCCCTTGTTGCCTCACATGTTAATAAAAGTTGTATACTTTTTTTTTCAAATCTAATTACACATTAACCATGTTTAATAATCAATCAAGGGTTTGTCTTTGGGGTCTAATTGGGCAAAATGCCCTTATGAAGTTGTAAATTTGATTGAATGCTCCAAGTCTTAATTTTAGGTTCTTTTTCTTACTAAATTGCCCTCTTCATTTTTACAACTTTCCCATTTTTTATAAAGGATAAATGATAATGTCCGACATCTTGGCTTTGTGAATGGGAGCTTTCTAAAAAACAAAGGTTCAATGCTATGGTCATGGTAGAAGTTTCAAAGAACTTACAAATCCAAGAGGGTGTGCAAGTTTAGCTGGAAACTGATTCGATTGAAGTGGAGAAGTCGATCGATGACGAAGCTTCGGGCCTCATTGAAAATTTTTGGATTGCTGAAGAAATTCCGGAAAGGAAATCGGTGGTCTCTGTTTGTTCCATCAAGAGGGAGTTCAATCAGCTGGTGCATGAAATTGCCCGCCAGCTTAATCTTCATGAGTTTCATTAATTGATGGGTGAGGAACTGCAAAGGGCTCATGGAATTAAAAAATTGGAATAAAATTGGTGAGTTGGAAGAGAAAAATGAGATTGCCTCTTTTTATGTAGTGATTCTCAATTTTGAGGTGTGTCCCTCTACAAATGCTTTAGAATGTTATCCCGAACGCTAGGGTGTAACAGATTTCACTACTCACTCAAGCTCACATATAAATCATGGATCGTCACTTCATATCGAGGTCGTCCTGAACATTCATCCAATCTAGCACTATATTGGCATGACAACTTTCATGTCCATGCCAATTCACTTGTGAATATTGTGTCAGAGCCCAATCCTATCTTACAACCTCTTGGATTCGAAATTCGGATTTGGCAACTAATTGTCCTCACCCACATGCTCTGCTCTGATACCCTTAGAGACAAGGCACAATGTCATTTATGACACCTGACATTGTCTTTAAGATTCTCATTTTCAAAGGAAGAAACATGAGAATCTTATCCTGCAGTGCTCACTCTCATTTAATTAATTAATTAATTTATTTATTTACCTTAGAACTACATCTAAGATGATCTTTTAGAAATTATCTAAACCTAACGAATGTTAGACTTATATGACTTGATATTTCCTCCCAAATGTAGAATGCTTCATGTTAAATAGAAATGCATAGAAATTTTAAATTTAGATAAAACACTTACAAAAATTACCTTTATAGATATGCCTCTAAAAAAATCGAGATGGTCATGAGAACCCTCCCAAACCTAGTGGACCAAACACTCGTGAAATACCAGCAGGTCAACTTGAGCCAGTACAACAAACAATTATGACTCTAAAGCTCATCAAACTTTGTTTGACAATATGGCTCCAAGGGCTCAGCCAAGATAGCAAAATGTCAAGAAAACTGGGATGGTCAAGATGAAACTTAGTTGACCATCAAAGATTTCAAACGATACGATCCACCAACACTCGATGAAAAATATGAAAGACCCTGTGTAGCTGAGGACTGGATTGAAGCATTGGAGAAGTTATCCAAGCACATGAGGTTCAATGATGATCTGAAGGTTTGTGTAGTTGTTTTCATGCTTCAGGATGAAGTTTTCTATTACTGGGAATCAATAAAAACTACTGATGATCAATAATAACCATCCAATTACTTGGAATATATTTAAGAAGTTATTGCATGACCACTATTTTCCTGACACAATCAAAGGAGGAGAAGTAGGTAGAATTCTTGAGCTCATTCAAGGGAGTATGATTGTAGCTTAATACATACGAGAGAAAATTTGTAGAACTAACTCGCTTTGCCACTGATTTAGTCAACAATAAAACATAGAAGATCAAGAAAATTATTAAGGGGTTTAAAAGGACATTAAAGTTTTTGTAACTCTAAAAGAACCTGCTACCTACTCAACAACTTTGATATTCGCTCTTATTGTGGAGAAAAGTCTAAATGAGTCGTTATCTATCACCGATACTGGGCCAACTGTCAGAGTTAGAAAAAGGTTCTTTTAATACACTTACCCTGAGTGTCCAATATGCTACAAGTACCACAAGGGACCTTGCATGAGAAGTAACTCAGTTTGTTTTAAGTGTGGTGTTGTAGGCCACTATGCTAGAGATTGCAATGCTCCCGTGAATGTTGAAAATGGCAAATCTACTCAATTGGCCCTGGCTTGAGATGTTAAGCAAAAAAGGTAAATTTTTTGCTATTACTCATGGGAAGTTAAAGATATTGAATCACTCGTCACGTGTACATTATTTATTATTCTACTTTTACATAAATTGACTTACAGTCCAACCATAACTAAACTAGGTAGGTTATTGGTTTTAAGACATCTTACTATTACATTATTTGACCTTTGAGTCTAACCATTTATTTATAACTACTAAGTTTGTTAAATAAATTGAATTAGACTTAGAGATGCTAGGGTGTGAGTTAGTAGTATGTACCCTTTTGGAGCTACCTTTGATTAAGGCAAGTGTATCCAAATGTGCATTTTAATATATTTCATATATGTTAAAAATCAATTAATCATGTTAACAAGTTCTTTCATCCATGATTTATATTTAATGTAATATGTATTGATGTACCCAAAGTACAACGTCTGAATTCCATTTCTCGATTATTTGTTTATGAATATGTAATTTACTCATTCATAATTTACATATACCTTTTATCTCAATGTTTAAAAAAGTTTTTAAGCCAAGTGCAAAGCACGTGTCAAAATCTAATTTAAAAAATATAGAAAATTAACTCGTTGGGATTACAAAATTCACCATTTATCTAAATTTAGTATTCAACCGGGTGAAATTGAAAGAATTTAAATCCTCCAATAAAAATTAAAAATTTACTTAAAGCACTAAAACCTTCATCCTTGAATGCTTACTTAAAGCATGGAAAAATACTATTCATTTTACATATAAATAAACACAAACCTATCCATTTAAAGTAGAGTTTCATGTCAACAATAAATCACTAGAGGTATTAAAAACACATGTAACTACTATATATATATATCAGATATACACTAATTTGAAGACATTTACTGTTCAAGTTTCTGACACAGCAGCCTCGGCTTGATATGATAAAAACCCGTTGAAGAAGGAACAATGACCATAAAAAATTATAGAAAGGAACCAAAAAAAGGTGAAAAAAAATATAGTTTTATCTTCCCAGCTCAATCAATCTCAGGAGAGTTATGATCAAAATTTAAAAAATAATAATAAAAAAAATACAAAACTGACCAGACACCTTCAGGCACTCAATGACAGAGATGCAATTGTAGAGATCTTGATTTTTCGAACTTTAGAAGAATATTCCATCTGAAATACTACCACTGTACTGGATCCTACCGTTACTTCCTTCCACTCAGAAGCAGAGGCCCCGTCGTTTCGATAATCCCGAGCAGAGTATAAAACTCGAAATCTTGAAGGAACTGCAATTTACAAGAGGGAAATTCTATGGAGAGGAAGTTGATGCGGGAGTACTGTGGATTAGAATTTAGACAATAGATATGTTTCAAGTGGTAAACACTAACTATCTACAATATTAGAAACTAATGGAAGTGAATGTGTAATAGCTCTTTCATAGAATCATAATATATACTACGATTTTACTCATTTCCAAAATATTGCAGTATAGTTATCATTCGGTTCAGGAATTTCGTAGAAGGATAGTTGAATATTAAAAATTTTAAAAAAAATATATGAAAATTGTGATTAATTGATTAAAGTTTTTTCCTCTTCCTCACTTGGTCGGTTAGTTGAGTCTTTTCTGCATATGTTAATACAACCTTAGAAAGGTCACACTACCAATCTCTAAAGAAGGACAATCATTTTAGCTCTTTGGGAGTTTATACCTTATTATCACAAATGCTATTTGAGTAAAGTAGAATTAAAGGGCTAAGACTTGGAGCAAATAGATACATCTATGATTAATAAAGAAATATTTGTGGGTGTTCACCACAACAGAAGATATAATTCTATTTATGGCCAATTATCAATTAAAAATCGTTACATGCCAATTGAAGGCCAAACCAATCCTAGGAGAATTCGTAGAGATTTTTCCAGAACCCCAGTCCTAGTGACTAGCGTTATAGGTCGTTGGGTGGCCGATTGTTCATATGTACTAGGCACAGCATGACTCGTACCAAACCTATTTGATTATGTCTAGCCCTGGTGTTCCTACCGCTTCATTTATGGCAACATACCTCAACCTCTTTTTACCTAGTCAACTCAACTAATCTTAAGAACCCACCTTTCACAACTCGACGTCCTTGCCTACATGATGCAAGAGTGATTTTTGGATCTTTTGAATCGGGATCCACCACATTCAACTATGTCCCTATAAATACCATTCTCATGATCATTCCAAGTATGTTCTCATACATTAAAATTGTGTATTCAACCCTCACTAGCATCACAACATTCTGACTCGATCATCAAAATCACTCCGAGAAACACATCAATGTTAGTTGAACACTTAGTGATCCATTTTCTCTTAAGTAGGTCATAAAATATCAAAGGTATATTTCTACCATTTATGTCTTGGTGCCCACCAAGGGATAAATTCTTTTAATCTGAGTCTACCATTTTCTGCTTCACCAGTTTCCCAGTCATTCTTTTTTTTTTTTTTCTCATCCCACAATTACCATCAACAGAGTAATTTGCTTTTTAATGTTTCAGCATTAATCATCCATTTGTTTTCTCATTACAGCCCAAAGAAAGAATAACTTAAAATATAAGATCCACAGACAAATTTAAGGTCATGATTTTATGGTTGGAATTCAATCTTTTTATTGAGCGATTTTAAGGTGCTCTAACTACTACACCAGTCAAGAATAATGTGTGTTTTTATGCATGAAGTCTAACGGTTTTGGATGTTACCAAATCTGATCATTCTCATCCTCTGGATGACTATGCAACTAACTTTTGATCTTTTGATATCTCTCAAAGCCTGCATATCTTCCTTTTTCCCTTTGAACTCCATGAATTCTCCCAGAATAAAATTATTTCCTTTAAGTTCCAGCCTGAAGGAAACAAAACAAAGCAGAGGTTGCAGAGTACTACAAAATATTATTTTCGCAAACTAGAACGTTCAAACATGTATTACATGCGATTTAATCCTCTATTATATATTTTTACTATATGTAGATATTTAACATAATATTTATCATACTACAACTATCTTTCATTTTCTTAATACAAAATCGTAATTATATAAAATCCAGAGATAGGGGACCTTCTTGCTTCATAAAAAAACATTATAAAATTTAAGGCTCCAATAAATTTTTTTTTCCTAATATCCTTGAGTATTCGAGCCAGCTTACATATACCTCGACTAATCTCACGGGACAACCGTCTAACCTTACAATATTTAGTTGTCAAGATAACTTATAGGATATTAAATCCTAGGTAGGTGGTCACTATGGAGAAAGTAATTGCTTATATTATTCTTCTTTTCAATAAATTTAAAAATGCAAGGGATTGGTAAAACAAGTTAGGAATTAGAGAACGAGCACTTAGAATCAGCATGAACAAATAGATGGAGAAAGTAACAGTTAATGAGATAATAAGTGAGTTCATGCAATGAGCAGTGCACTAAAAGTGAGCGTACAAACCTATCCCACATGGGTGCAGTGTTGAGGACAAAATTTAGCTTCTGATCCATAGATTCCTGCATCTCTTTTTTTCCTCCACGCAAAGCACCCTTGATCCAACCGGAGAACGTACTTTTTGGTTCTGGTTTCAACTGTATATACTGATCATATGTGACGACTTCAGAAGGAAAATAGTTCAAATGAACTGTTCTGCAATTAATGACAAACAACTTTTAAGAGACTTTTGAGTGGTGATATGGATGCCATGAAACAAAAATCAAATGTCACTTCGTATCTTTCTGATGTTCGATAATGTAAGAACTCAATTTTACATGAAGTTCACAATGGTGAAATCTAATAATAAAGTGAGTTTCACGCTACCTTGGAGGCAATATTCAACGATCACCAGATACGCTAAAATAGAATGTTTGAAATAAAGTAGATACTACCCAAATATATTTAGATGATAAGATCTTTCAATTCCATGTTTCAGCTCAAATATATTTTGCCTGTATGTATAGGTACCTAGTACATACAATTATCTTCCATGTTGACTTCTCATGTATAGCTGTATGTATGGTATTAGACTTTTTTTTTTAAGAACAAGAAATGAAGTTTTCATTGATGTATGAAAAGGAAAAAAAAATTCAATAGTACCAACTCTCGAAAGAGCGAAGAGAAAAAATAATAAATAAACAATACATAAAGAGACACAATTTAGAAGGAAAGATAAAAGCGCCCCAATTGGCCAAGATGAGGTTAGGAAAATAATTCTCAAAAAGAACCAAGAGAGAATACCATTGTGAAGCTTTAAACTTGGCTAAACCGAACCATTCCGCCACATTTTCTCTTGCCTGCAAAAATCCAAAGATTTCTCTCGAACCATAATTTATCTAATAAAGCTTTGGATGCATTAGTCCAGAGGCCGGCCTTGGAAGGTAACCTCGGGCCGTGTAGCAGCTAAACAAGTTATTCTTAACATTTGAATCAAATACCCAACACAAATTGAGTTCCCCAGTAGAAGAAACCAGCACTGCATAGCATAGGGACAATGGAAGAATAAATGGGCCAAACACTCCCCATTGGCAGCGTATAAGAAACAAAGATGGAAAAAGGTTGGAGAAGGCAGCTTCATTTGTAGTACTTCAGCCGTGTTACCTTGGAGAAGAACCCAAATGAAAATACTGACCCTTTCAGGACAATAGCATCAAATAAAACTTTAGGCATGGAAGGAGGACAGCATGGTTTGCATAAAGAAGCAACTGAGAACGCCCCTGAGGGCTCTAAAATCCAGAATCGGCGAACGGGTGTGATTGAACTTAAAACAGACAAAAGGTCAGCAAACTCATCAATTTCCTCATCTTTCAAAAACTGCCTAGTTACTACTTTACATGAGTCGGTTGCTTTATCCCAAAAATCAGACACATTTCCACGGGGATAAGGAGAAAACTGGAAAATTTTGGCAAAACTAACCTTTAAAGGAGTGTTCCCAACCCATTGATGATGCCAAAAAGAAATCCTGCTACCACTACCAGAACCAAGCTTATAAGAAGAAAGGGATTCCACCTTCTTCCAATGCTTAGCAATATTGGTCCAAGGGCATCGAAGACAGCATTCGGCTTTTCAGCTGTAAACCAACCAAAATAATCTCTGCCGTAAATGCTTTCCACTCCTTGCCGCAATAACGAAAAGGTTAACAAATATAGATAGTATAATGGGATGTTGGCCAAGACCGAGTCGCATAAAGTCAATCTACCACTCCTGGAAAGATGAGAACGCTTCCATATATCCAACTTGTTAGAAATTCTTTCAAGTACTCGTTGCCAAAAAACAAGGATTTAGGATTACCACCTAATGGCAAGCCTAAATACTAGAAAGACAATGATTCAACCTTGCAATTAAGGAGGGAAGCAACCTGTTTAATTCTTTGAGCTTGAATATTAATACCACACAAGGCTAATTTGTCCCAATTTACGGTTAGACCGGATAACCACTCAAAAGATTTAATAGTCTTAAGCAAATTTAACATAGCATCCTCATCCTTGCAAAAAAAATTAAGGTGTCATCAGCAAATTGGAGCTGTGAAACATGTATGTTAGGCCACCAGTTATTCATACTTATGTTCGGAAGGGCAGGAAGGGAAATTGAGGGGTAGGGTACAGAGTGAGGGGTGTTTTGGGAATTTTACATACCGTTAGTTAGGAGCACGGATGGGGGGAATGGAATGTCCGTAAGGGGAGCCTCGGGATTAAGGGGGCAGTTTTTTCGACCTTTTGTGTAAGCGCAGTAGTAGTTGTTCGGAGAGACCCAGCCTTCTCGGATTGGCTGGCCTTGTAAAGCCTTAGGGCTGTTTTCTCCTTTTGAATATCAAAGTTTAGTGAGGAAGATACCTCACAGTGTACTGCCTTGCTACCAACTACAAAACCTTCAAAGGACCCTTTTGAGTGAATGCTTTCCAAAATACTACTAAAAACATCACTTACTAGAAGGGTGGTCACCTTGCCTCAAACCTCTAGAAGCGATTATCTTTCCTTTAGGCCTACCATGGATAAAAATTGAAAACTTTTTTTCTAGAATAAACAATTTCATTAATGATATGAAATACGATTACAAAAGGGAGAGAACTCAATCAATGGGTTACAAAAAAGCACTTCAGCTAACCATAATGGGTGGCTCATTGGTCCAAAGGGACTAGGATAAAGTGTAACCATAAAAACAATAGATTCAAATAGAAAATGAGTTGGACGGTCCTTTTCAAGGAAGATCCTCTAGTTTCTTTCCAACCACTGAAACCAAAATAAAGCCCAAACAAAATGCATACAAATAAGACTTTTTTCCTTAGAAAAGGGATGACCGGCGAGTGTCAAGGCCAATAGAAGATGTAAATCCTCGGGGAAGGGCAACCTACTATCCAAAAATGGAAAACTTAGTGCCCCTCACGGAGCCATTGATCCACCTTATCCAATTTTTGCCAAACTGCTTCTGTTTGAGAACCTCTTCAAGAAACGACCAATCAACCTTGTCAAAGGCCTTCTCAATATCAAGCTTAAGCAACCACCACTCTTCATTCTTGCTCTACGATTTCATCTGAACTTCCGTATTCCTAACGGAGAAATTATTTAACATATTCAAAAATTCCAATCAGCCATTCTTATTGAAGCTTGCCAGAATGATGGTTGTTCTTCTTCCCCAGTGGTGGGCCAAACAACCCATTCAACGAACCCTAACTGATTTCTTCTAAACTTATGAATACGGATTGTGCCATGCACATTCCTAACCTGGTAGAAGAATGTAGAGTGAACTAGAATTTGACTAACTCGACCATATGATTAACCATAAAAATTGAGAAGGGTGAAGGAGCAATAGCATTTTCCGATTAACATCTTCAATCATAAAGCAGTCATTTTCAGCCCAAATACAAAAGAACTTATGATCAATTTGACAGCTACTAAATTCCATTGATTCTTTTACAGTAAAATCCAACTTGAACTTCGACAAGTACTCATTGCATGCCTTTAGAGAGAATGACTTAGCGAAAATAACAGAGTCAACATATTGCTGACATTTCAAGACTACTGGTTGCCTAGTAAGAAGTAAATCCAACATCAGAAGCATAAAAAACGGGGATTATCCATTGCATACCGAAATTTTGGATTGGGAAGCAAAACTTTACACGATAAATATCCTTCTGGCAGCGCAACTCCTCTCTGTTCAAGGTATGACTCGAGAATTGAGGCCCATCTTCGTGTCTCAACCACCTGTATTTAAAATAAACAAAATAATATAGGAACTCATTTCTATATCTCATATTATCTCATATTCTTTTCTTTTTATTTGAAAATTTTCAGAGACCCCTCTTTCTATAAGTAAGAAACTTATATTAGGAATGAAAGAATATAAAAGGAAGGACAAGAATTCCTCATAAACCACCTCGAAGCTTACATAAAAGTAGTCCACTTTGATACAAACAACTAAGAAAGAATAATTACAAAATTGATTACAAAGGAGCTCCATTTAGAAGCTAACATAGTTATTCTCTCCCAAATTATCAATAAAAAAGGAAAGTACTATTTCTTTCCAACCAAACTTCCAAAGAAGAGCTTTTATAGCATTGGTCTAGAGAAATTCACCTTTTTCTTCAAATGGTGCACCAGTACATGACTTGTTCCAGGGCTTATTTGATTGTTTTAGGAAGCACCACAAGCGCAAGGTGGTTTACTGGAAGAAAAAAGTGGGAACTCTATTTATAACCACCTTCCAACAAGCTCTTTAGCTAATTACTAATATTTGGAGTGGTTTACTTAAAGAAAAAAGTGGGAACTCTTGGTATCTACTATCTTAATAATATTTCTAAAATCTACCCTAATGCTATAAACATTGCTCGCCCAGCAATTTGTCTCCAAGGTTTAACTGAACCATAGGTTCTTTCAAAAAGGATCCAAAAATTGTGGACGAGCACAATGTCACTTTTTTTTAATTCGTTCCTTCCTGACAAGTAGACAAACAAAGAAACTAAACTTCTCAAGCGCTTTCCTCTTGAAGGTTTCTTTTTGGATAACATGCTCTTCAAGATTTTTTCTGCACCATGAAAAACATCATATTGTTTTTGGGATCAGACAGTTGAAAATAGTCTTGGGAACCTGAAGCCGCCAAATTCCTGGTCGTTCTATCTTCACTTCTTTTTATAGTAGTATCTTCTATCATATCGTTTAGGAAAATTGAAACCCATTCCACTGTCTCTAATCATTAAGATTTCTCCTAAATCAATATCTCCACCAAACACTTTCTTGTCACCCATCTATTTGGCCTTGATGTTTAGGGCTAACCCATTCCACTTTTTCTTCTTTTTTTTTTTTTTGTGATAATTGGGAGTCGGAGCTTTGCTATACCCGAGAACACTTGCACCCACCCCAAGGCCCGGACCCAGGAGACATCAAGGGTTTTTGGTATTAAGCTCACCCAGAATTTTCAAACTTGAGAGCTCTATGCCAGGAGACCCCAAGTCCCTATCAACCGCAAATAAGTTTTAGAATTATGTGCACCATATTAAAGGAAGCTTGTAGCATTTTTCTTAAGTTCTAGAATTATGCGCATCATATTATAGGAAGCTCGTAGCATTTTTCTTACATATTTTGAGTTAGCTCACGTCTCACGAAGAGAAATTTTAAGGTGAGGGACGAGTTTTAGCTAAATGACAGCAACTTACTGGATCAGGCATAATCTCTGACCTTTGTGTACCATCACCTTCACAGATCCAGCTTCCATCAGCACTGATGGAAACCAAACCTGAAAGATTTTTTACAGATATCACCACTGCATCCCTGTACGGATTTAAAAAAATGGAAAGATAAGAGATAAAGATAAAAAGCAAGGGCCAGAATTAACAAACATCACGTAATACATTTCTACAAGAGTTGACATTTAATGTTTTGTTCTCAGTATTTTCAAAGAAATGAACAGATGCGAAGAAGAATATGAATTGCAAGAAGTTCAATGATGACAATGAACTTTCTGATGATGAAGTGAAAGCTATGCATCGTGCTTAAATCACTATTCATTTTTTTTCTTTTTTCTTTTTTATTGTTTGGCACCTTTCTCTGAAACATTCTTCCCGGTAGAGTAGTCTATGGCTTTCTCTTTATTGGTCAAAACAGATATATTTTTCCAAATAAAATTTAGAAGTTGTTAAAATATGGTTTTGATCTTAAATTCTTACCCATTTAAATTTGCTTCCTCGACTTCTAAATCTTCATTTTAAATTCTTCAACTCTCATTGAACTCCATATTCAGTCTTTACATTAGAATCTGCATTTCTGAATAACTAAAGGATACTCCTACAGCAGCAAATGATTGGGCAATCACAACCAACCACAAGCAAATAAATATATACCCTCACTGTAAATTACCGAGAGCTAATACTAAGTAATTGTCGATTTCTTGAATTCTCAATTAAGTTCATTCCTTTCTTCCTTTTACTCGTAAACCTGATAGTTAAAAGATAACAGATAACAAAATTTGCAATGTGGGAAATCTACCCTTTAGTTACAAGAACCATATCAATACTCTGTCGCGAACCAGTGTCAGCATCTGGAATTCGAAGCCCCAAAAAAACCCTTCCACCATAGAGCTTTTCTAATCTACCAAAAGAAGAAACACGAAAATTTATTATCAAATTATAAACCTTATTCCTGCCAGAAATAGAAGTTTTTTTATACCTAGAAGCGGCAGCGAAAATGGCATTAGAATCGGAGGCCTCGATCTCCATTTCATCCTTTGGACAAAAGAATCGCCTGAGCACTCTAAACGCTATAAAACCACAGAGTATCTCAGCCCACATGACAGGGAAAACTTTCTCGATCGAGGCGAGGCAACTAGAAAACCCTGTTCTTCGAATAGTATCACGAGGTATGTTCTCATAAATATTAATGGAACAAATCAGAAAACAGCCGTTCAAAAACTATAGTTTTATTCTTTTTAAAAAAAATTGAATTTATTCTATTCTCGAAATCAGATATTAATTAAAGGGGTGGCTCTATCTATACCTACTTACTTAAAATAGTAAAAATCTAATTTATCAAATAAAATTATTATTCCATTATAAAATAATAAAATCATTAGGCTACTTTAAATAAAATAAAAATCAAACCAAATCATTAGCCTATTTTTTATTAATTAATATTTAGTTCAATTAGTTTGTTTAACGTTTGAAAAAAATATGGAATTGGCAACTTTCTTTAGGATCGGGACGATATAATCTGAATTCAATCCTTCTAAATTATTAATAATTTATCCCTCTAAATTTTAGGACTATGAAATAGTTTTCTTTTTAATTCCTAAATTCAATAATATATGTGACGTGGATTCCAACCTCTAAACTTAAAGATAGATATATATATATATATATATATATATATATTGATTGATTGATCTTGTTGTTTTTCCTCACCAAAATGAAAATAGTTGCTATTGCGACGAGGAAGCATTTAGATAACCAAAAAATCAAAGGTGGATGAGATCAAATGGGTAGTTCTTTTTTATTTCATTAAAATTTTCGAACAACAGAATAGAATAGGAATGGAAAAAGGCAAAA